TTATAAATTGTTATCCTCCATATTGTAATCATTCAAAGGGCTCTAAAACAAAGATATGTTTTGGCTATAGGGGAGAGTATGGAGTAGAGGTGGGTATTGCTGAGAATTTTCATATTGCGATATATTGCGATGCAAAAGCATATATTGCGATATGTTTTGCAATATATTTTCAAGAATAATTTTATAAAGCAAAAACTACTTATAATCGAGGTAATGCTTGATTTATTAAGCAAAAACACAACAAAATCACAATGCTTGATTAAGGTTTAATAAAACTTTTAATAATGACAAAATAAAAATGTAAATAATATGTGGCACAAATGAACCAAGGAAAAGAACAATTTAACATCAACACAGTGGTTACTAGTAAATATTGAAACATTCAGATCCAAAACATTGCGAAACACTTGAACAAAAATTCAGAACACAACTTCTAACCGCACAACTTGACTTCCGGTGTGAAAACGGAAATATTCGAAGATTTCCGAGTGTTACGAATTTTTCCGAATGCATGTCAAAATACCGGTTTTCGATCAGCCTATCGCAATACGTATCGTTTTCATGGCTGAACCAGTAAATATCGGTAAACCGGTTATACTGCGCAGCCCTAGTATGGAGATATGCCTTGGTAAGGTATGGGTACTGTTTCATACACAGTTCCATGAAGACATTGAATAGATTTTGAATTTTGATGAAATGAATCGATTACAGATGATCGGGTGAACACAGTGATCACTATATACCCAAACATCATCAATTCCTACTTAGGGTGCCCTAGACTCAGATGAGAGTACGTCCAATTCAATTTTAATGTCAGAGTGTCTTTACCTTCAGTTATGTATCAGTCAACCAATCTTTATGCAGTACTGACAACGCCACATGTCTATGGTGCATTGTAGTGGTGGTCCGATTAATTAAAATAATCGAAGATTGGTCGCAATGACTAAACGACCAAGCAATCGATCATGTTTTCTCATAATCGAACACAAACAATTTTGGCACACTTGTTTGCATTAACAACATTTTTTCACAAGGTTGGTTTTGTCTGTTACATTTCATAAGTACTACAAGCTCGTTCCCTGTCATGATTGAAATTATCTTAAAGATTCCAGGAAATTTATGTTCCTAACATACTAGTCCTCCTTTAAAGATGTGAAATTTGTAAATGCATTTTGTGCAATTTGCAAAAAAACACCGAAGTACATGTTTTTTCTATATATTTTGTGCAGTAACAAACATAACCAGGAGAGTTTGATAAATCACGCTAACCAATTTTTTTCGATGATTGATCGGTTGTAATAAACCAATCATCAATTGTGAGATTTTAACCAATTCCCAACACTAGTGCATTGTACATCCATTATATACTATACATACAGTATATATGAGTGAGTGAGTGTAGTTTTACACCGCTTTTAGCAATATTGCAGCAACATCACAGCGGGGGGACACCAGAAATGGGCTTCACACGCATATACATATGCAGTATACATGAAAATCATTCACTGATATATATAGATGAATAGAATTGTGTTAATATATATCAACTGGTGAATACATGGAAGCATTGTATATAAACATGGATAACGCCTGAATACTTTGACTCTTTGTTGGTGTTAGCAGTGATGAGCATTTTGTAACACTAGTATATGTAATATTATAGGATGGTACATACTGTTCTCCAAATGAAGTGTACACGGGACTAACAACATCATCTCACCATTCATCCTCATCAAGATTTAGGTTACATTGTTTACATATTCTATTATTAATATTTATATATCGCCCAGTTTGAATGAATATGTAATGTGAGTAACAACGGAAACGCGATAAAGCGACTGGAAATATTTTAACAGTAATTGTAGACAAATAATATTCAACAGTTAAGAGCGATTTGACCACGTTGTAAAGAAATACTTGCTTGTTTGAGAAACTTACTCTTTCAATCCATGTTTGCATACACATTTGGTCCCTAACATTGAGCGCTCCCTAAAATGGACGACAATTCTACATTAACTGAACCATGCAGGTCTTTTAATGGTTGTGTCAACGACATTTTAAATTAGAACGTGAATGAACGTATTTAGCATTAACGACATGACCAGAACCACCTGTTAGGACGTACCTAAAGAGCAGCTGTTTCATGTCCGTAACCCATTATCTTTTTCTTACCTGTAATGTTTTCATCTCCAATAGAGACTCTCATGATATCAAGTCTGATAACTTCATATTTATTTCAAAGTTTTTGTTAATTATAGAATGACCGAAAAGTGATCATATAATTTCTTATGGATTTATATTTGTCTTTGGTAGGTCACAGATAGAACATTCGGTCGACCCAGTTCGAGCAACCGCCTGAAATCAGCAAGTCAGTTTACGAATTGGGGTCCCGATCCACAAAACGTTCCGATCTATTGTAACTATACTTTTGTCATATGCATACAAATAGCACAGCGCTACGAACATTTTGTGAATAGGGTGAGTCGATATCTTTACGTAATTGGACTATGCATAGCTTCATTAGTCCAAACAAAACGTAAACCCAGTTTTCTGACCGCTTGAAGTCAGTTACCTCCCTTGGCTCTGGAACTATACGTTGACATCCGATTGGTTTATTCGTGTCTCATTCCATTCGTGACCAACTCGTGTTATTCCGACCAACAAGTACCATATTTTAACGTCTTTTGGTATGACGCGGTCGGGGATCGAACCCGCGACCTTCCGCTCTCCGGGCGGACGCTCTAACCACTACACCACGGATGCGATCGGCTCAGATCTAAACAAGGGAGATAACCTTTTGATTTGAATCTCTGATTTTTATTAGATTCGACAACGATATATGACAACTTGACATTCAGTGACGAAGTGTAAATATCGAACAAAACAGCACGTTAGTGATCACTGGTACCTGTTTTCACACAAAAAATATGTCGTTTCATGGAAGAGACAATGTGATATGATTACGAGTCACTCGTCTTGGTGTGTATAAAATAATCAATTTATATTTAAAAAATAAAATATTTTTGTGATGACAGGATATTAAACTGTTCACTTTACTATGCAATAATCAAATCTTCCACGATTATTCTGATTGTTCCATACAAAACGAGCTCCAACGTTTATTGTATGACGTTTTGATGAAGAGATATCGATATCGCCACACAGAATGAAAAAGTCCAATACCGATATATTTTCGTGCGTTTTGAAATACCATTTCTTGAAATATACTGAGTCAAAAAAGAAACTTCACATTCTTTCTTCAGGGCACTATAAAAGAACAAGAGATGGTAAGATGGTTAAATTGTTATTATTTCATTGCTGAGATCTGTGTGATGTACTCGATACACTGACAGTGCCATAATCAGTTCCATTAGGCTACACCGCCGTTCCAAAACATGGGTATACAGAATGTCAAGTCACAAGAATAAAAATGCGAAATTTCTCAGTTCAATATCGTGTATGGCCGCCCCGCGCATTCACCACTGCCAAACACCGTCTCCTCATCGACTGCCTGATTCTTGTGAACACATGGTTGGGGATTCTGCGCCATTGCTCTTGCAAGGCAGCGCCAAGTTCCTGCAAATTCTGAGGTTGGTTCCTAAGACCACGAAGCCTTCTCCCAAGTGCATCCCAAACGTGCTCTATTGGATTAAGGTCAGGGGACCTCGATGGCCAGTCCATGACGTTGATTCCAGCGTTTTGAAGGAAATTTCGTGTCAACATCGCGGTATGCGGCCGAGCATTATCATGCTGGAACTGTAGACCTGGGCCATGAGCCGCCATGAAAGGAACGAGTTCAGGGGTGAGCACCTGGTCGCGGTAAGCAGCAGCTGTGAGGTTTCCACGGATGACCAGAAGTCGGGAAGGGTTGTTCCCACAGAAAGCACCCCACACCATGCAACTTCCGCCCCCGAATCTGTCGACTTCCTGTACACAACATTGGGCATACCGTTCACGACGTCGTCTCCAGACTCTATGCCTGCCGTCCGCGAATCTGAGGGTAAACCTGAATTCATCGCTAAAGACGACTCGATTCCAGTCTCTCTGGGTCCCTCGGAGGTGACGTTGGGCCCACAGCAGACGTTGACGTTGATGAAACGGCGTCAATATTGGCCCACGATATGGACGTCGAAAATGGAGATTGGCAGCCCGCAACCGATTTCGAATGGTCTGTGAGGACAGTCGACCTCTAGACATCTCAGCCCTGGTTCGTGTAGCCGGCTGAAATCTGTCACGTAGGTGACGTAGGACGATTTGACGGTCTTCTGCTCGTGACGTCACACGTGGACGACCCGACCTTGGGCGATCAGAAGTGGTGCCAGTTTGTTGTAGACGACCTCGCAAGTCATACACAGTACGACGGCTGCATCCCATTGCTCTTGCGACGTCGATAAACTGATCTTCCCGCTTGCAACATACCAACGGCACGTTCACGTTGCACATTTGACAATCGTGGCATTTCAAGTACCGTTAGAACTGTGGTTTAAAAGTGTTTTTTCAATTCTTGAGGCCAATGCAAACACGTGCATATGAAGAAAACTTCGATGCGAAGATCACGTGATGGACTGCACGTGCAAAACCTGATTTGGCACTAACGTCATTTGCACGAGGAATGGATGGGTTTGAGTGGGTTTTGCTAACGTCGAAAGATAGGGATCCCATTTCGGATACATAGATGTATCATCAGAGAAAAAATATTCATTATTTTTCAAATTACATTTTGTGAAGTTTCTTTTTTGACTCAGTATACTTTTGATTGATTCGAAAAGGTGCACGTGTTGTCCATTTAAGATGTATGGAAAACGTCTATTCAAAACATTTCTTCTGGTAAAAGAAGTAATATTTATGAGCTTCAAATTATGTTTTTGATTGTTGTTTAACGCCGCACTCAGCAATATTCCAGCCACATGGCGGTCCTCAAATTCTGACTTACAAAGGTGAGATATTCAGCTTACCAATGTCCGCTTTCACCGACGTCGTCAAAGCCATAAAACAAGTCATTTAAGTAAATTTATTACATTTGCCGATAAGGCCAGTACACAGAAAATGTATAGTCCTTGTCCGCGCAAATATGCTCCCAGTGACCTAGTGTTAAGCATAGCGGAGTTATGGCCCCTTTTATATGCGTGTGTGACGTCGTCTTCTGACGTCATAGAAGAAAATATGTTTCGTTATAAATGGCAAGCCATTTTTATATAACGTTATATACAGTTACGCATACAAATCCATTTGATATATATATTTATGTTATTCAGATATCAGGCAGTATTTTGAGCTATCATAGTTTTCATTACGATGTAAAATAATACAACAGCAGCACAAAACTGTTACGATGGTTTGATAAAAAGTGGAGACATTTATAACAGAAAAGCAGATCTACAAAGTGATGCGCGAGCGCAATTGTCGCACTACGTTCACAAGTCAGATCCTATGTAAATGTGCGTCAGAAGAGAAATGGCAGTGAGATGACACTTCATGACAAAACGTTTAACTGAATTTTAGAAGCCCCATCAAATCTTCAGCAGTTCCCAGAACATTAGAAATTTTAAAAAAAACTCCAGCCACTGTTAGTAATTTTGTGTTCAGTCTGGTCAATCTTCTCGAACAGCCCGTCAAATTACTCCCTTACTCGGGGCCGTGTAGCCTAGTGGGTAAAGTATTCACTTGTCATACCGAAGACCCGGGTTCGATTCCCCATATGTGTTAATGTGTGAAGCCCATTTGTGGTGTCCCCACCGTGATATTGCTGTAATGTTGCTAAAGCGGCGTAAAACCATACTCACTTACACTCACTCACTCACTACTGAAAGTGATGCCAAGAGCCATGTACAGGCTGAGAAGACTCAAACGATTTGGGGAGAGACTGATTCTGTTCAAAATGACCGTTCTTTTCATTATAACTCTCTGCATTATTGGAATCTGATGACGCCCCCTTGCTGAAAGGACTCAGTCCCTCGGTCTATAATCTCCGTTGTCATCAGACATTGTTCTTTCGTAATGAGGGGAGATTCTGTCCCTGCAAACAGACAAAAAATGTCCAAATCTATGTTCGATCACATATGAAATAATAAACGGTGACTTATGACATTCTTAAAACCAAGAACAACCAATGTGCTGCCACTTTTCACATTTGAAGGGTCCCTATATGGAGTGTCTGTTAGATGTTCGGGATGGTATTGTTTGTTTGTTTTTTGTTGTTTTTGTTTTGTTTAACAGCGAGATCCCAGCTATACGTATAGCGTAAATAATTGAGTCTGGACCAGACAATCTAAAGTTCAGCAGCATAAGCATTGATATATACAATTGGGATAAGATGACATGTGTCAACCAAGTCAGCGAGCCTGACCACCCGATCCCGTCAGTCGCCTCTTACGACAAGCATGGGTTACTGAAGGCCAATATTAAACCGGATCCTGACATGTGTAACTTAAGATGGTGTCAACCCTGCTTCACGGTTACCATCACGCCACATAACTTGTATTCCCACCCAGCCTAATAACTCCTAAGTGATAAATATAGACTTTGACATAATTCATTAATTTGTCGCTCTTTCCACAAACGAAAAGAAGGAAATCTCAAAATTGAAATTTTGGCATCTCACTAACGAACAAAACATGACATGCAACAGGGGCTCCGTCTGGAATTTCTGACTATGTAATATATAGTGTATTTGATGAAACAGATCTTGCTCTTACCATCGACGCAGTTGATAAAGTGTTCCAGTTCATTTTGAAAGGCCATGCTGAACCTATCTGGGAAGGAAGTACATATACGAGGGCTTCTGAAACCACTGGTCAACTCCAGTTTGGCGCTCGACAAGCGTGGGTTGTCCATCTGTGCCATCCCTGCTGAGCCGAACACCTGGGGAATCACAACGGTAACAGAGTGGGTCAATGGCTTTTGTTGCCACTGATTAAGGCCAGGTAACAATAACTCTTGTTTGTTATTTTATTCAAACCTGGGGGAAGACTTTATTGTATAAATTATATCTATTTTATAGGGTAGAAATCTAAGGGTGAGACAAAATGAACATCAGGAATCAAATTAGAAATTCTGAAAAAAATGTGACTGACTGACTGACTGACTGACGAGTTTGGTTTTACGCCGCTTTTAGCAATATTCCAGCAACATCGCGGCGGGGGACACCAGAAATGGGCTTCACACATTTTACCCATGTGGGGATTCGAACCCGGGTCTTCGGCGTGACGAGCCACTAGATTACCCCACCTCCCGAGAAAAATGTGATTAAAATATGGTAAAACAGAGGCAGAGAGAAATTTAAAGGTGTCAGGACCATGGGAAATAAGACATTATATACCTCCCATCAAAAGTTTAGACTCACTAGTGTAAATGTAGCCACTTACTTCAGGCAACTGTTCTACACTAAATACTTGCAAAATATTCCATACTGTTTAAAGGTATTGTTTACACATGAACTGATGCATTGTAAAACAAATTGGTACAGTTGAAAAGCTTATTGTCATGAGTTCAAGAAATAATAAAAATCAGTGAAAATTGGCGAATTCTTAACAAAACTTTACACCAAAGCGCAGCTGTTCATCTGCACGATATTTCTTTTTTAATATTTACCATATCTCGAACACAAAACAATTCGATGTCAGACTATGTAATATATAGTGTATTTGATGAAACAGATCTTGCTCTTACCATCGACGCAGTTGATAAAGTGGTCCAGTTCATTTTGAAAGGCCATGCTGAACCTATCTGGGAAGGAAGTACATATACGAGGGCCTCTGAAACTGTAACCACTGGTCAACTCCAGTTTGGCGCTCGACAAGCGTGGGTTGTCCATCTGTGCCATACATGTTCCTGCAATTCATGATGAGATTCCGATTTACATTGTTCCGAACATGCCTGAACGCTATGGGAATCACAACGGTAACAGAGTGCTGACTCAACAACTGTCAATGGCTTTTGTTGCCACTGATTAAGGCCAGGTAACAATAACTCTTGTTTGTCGTTGTTTTTAGATTCAATGTTGGCATGTCAGTAATCGTCATGTCATCGGTTCCCAACCATTCCAATGACGTTTGACAAATCGGAATCCCATCAAGTATAGATATGATACAGAACTACGGACCTTCTGTTCCGTTGTCGGAATCCCAAGGTTTGCCCCGTCAGCAAACTGACAAGGTAAATATGTCTGACCACCCGATCCCGTTAGTCGCCTCTTACGACAAGCATGGGTTACTGATGGCTCATTCTAACCCGGACCTTCACGGGTTCCGATTATTAGTAGATTATGAGATGAATAATAAATTATGATCATCTCACCTCAAACCTGATATCATATCCATACACTGACTCAATGACATTGTTTATTGACGCTACAACGCCAGACCTGTACTTGAGAACGGCGGTGACAGTATCAGCTTCCCCCGCACTCCTTCATCACGGGGTCATGAGCGTGGCCCGTCAGGTAGATGCTCTCAGGGCGTTCCGCCCCCGTCAGCCACACCATCAAGTCAATGTCGTGAGGGGTCAGATCACAGAAGATGTTGCATCCGTTCTTAGCTGTAACCCAATCACAGAATTAGATCTGATCGTTATCGCTTTATAGTTCAGAAAAATGAAAGTCATTTGAAATTGTCTGACCAATGCTATTTTTCACATTTGAGAATTTGCTGAATATTGGCATGGGGCTACCATAGACGTAGTGTTTCAACAGTTGTTGTCCATTCCGGTTTACAATATTTATGCATGTGAGTGAGTGACTACGTCACTTTTAGCAATATTCCAGCGATATCCCTATCTAAGTATTATTCTGTTCGAAAATTGCGGGATACCGTTTAAGAGACAAATAATAATATGCCTTGGAGTCTGCTGTTGAGGATTTGGTTTTGACGACAGGTTTGAGTGAGTGAGTTGAGTTTTACGCCGCTTTTAGCAATAATCCAGCAATATCACGGCAGGGGACACCGGAAATGGGCTTCAAACATTGTACCCATGTCTTCGGCGTGACGAGCGAACGCTTTAATCACTAGGCTAACACACACCCCCCACCCCACCCCCACCCCGCACCCCGACAGGTTTGAGAACAATCAGATGATATCGGTAATTAAAGGATAACAAGCCCAAAGGTCAAATCAATCAAATGTATTGAAAAGGTCCGTCAGTAAATATCAAACTAAAACTGATTCCACCTATGTGCTTTCCCCTATTCCAAGCTACGTATGTTACAACCAGACTTACCCAGCGAGGAGAGATACTCGTAGGATGGGCGTGGCGAGTCCCTCGTGACCAGTGTTATCACGTGGATGTTGCCTATATCTCCCTGTTGTACAGTTTGAACTGTTGCCTGAACTGCTGGATCAAACCGTCTACAATCATAGTCATCAAACATTAGTGAGTCAGTAAGTGACCTGAGTTTTAGTCCGCTTTTAGCAATATTACAGTAATATCACGGCGGAGGACACCAGAAATGGACTTCACACATTGTGCGCATGTGGGGAATCGAACCCGGGCCTTCGGAGTGACGAGCGAACGCTTTAACCCATAGGCTACCCCACCGCCCCCATAAAACATTAAGTGCCATGCTTAGTCTAGTATCTATAAGTACAAAATACTTGTTGTTAGAACCTAGTGCGGAGTGTTAAAATATGCTAAATTCTGAGAAAACTTGAAAATGGCTGGAACCTGGTGCCAGAAAACAGCTTGAAAACGTTCTTTATCAGTACCCCAACTGAAATGTATATTTGAGGCGGATCGGTCATATGTTTGCTTGCTGTTTTAACACCGCACTCAGCTGGAAACATAAGCCTGGACCAGATAATCAAGTGATTGACATCGTTTCACTGTCTGGTAGGGTGTGATGACGAGTCCCGCTACTTGATCTCACATATATATTGAGTCAAAAAAGAGGTGTGCCTCGTGAGTAAGCAAGGAACAAAAGTGTCTGGTATTGGGTGAGGGAGGTGTACCTCGTGAAGTGAGTAAGGAACAAAAGTGTCTGGTATTGAGTGGGAGGGAGGTGTACCTCGTGAAGTGAGCAAGGAACAAAAAGGATCTGGTATTGAGTGAGAGGGAGGTGTACCTTGTGAAGTGAGTAGGAACAAAATTGTCTGGTATTCAGTGAGAGAGAGGGAGTGCCTCGTGAAGTGAGTAAGGAACAAAAGTGTCTGGTATTGAGTGAGGAGGGAGGTGTACCTTGTGAAGTGAGTAAGGAACAAAAGTGTCTGGTATTGAGTGAGAGGGAGGTGTACCTTGTGAAACGAGTAAAAAAGGAACAAAAGTGTCTGGTATTGAGTGAGGAGGAGGTGTACCTCGTGAAGTAAGCAAGGAACAAAAGTGTCTGGTATTGAGGTGGGAGGGGGGTGTACCTCGTGAAGTGAGCAAGGAACAAAGAGTGTCTGGTATTCAGTGGGAGGGAGGTGTACCTCGTGAAGTGAAGAGCAAAGAGGAACAAAGGTATCTGGTATTGAGTGAGGAGGGGTTGTACCTCGTGAAGTGAGTAAGGAACAAAAAGTATCTGGTATTGAGTGAGGAGAGGGTGTGTACATCGTTAGGGGGGAGTAAGGAACAAATGTGTCTGGTATTGAGTGAGGAGGGGTGTACCTCGTGATGTGAGTAAGGAACTAATGTGTCTGGTATTGAGTGAGAGGGAGGTGTACCTTGTGAAGTGAGCAAGGAACAAAAGTGTCTAGTCTTCAGTGAGAGAGAGGTGTGCCTCGTGGGAGGTGAGTAAGGAACAAAAGTGTCTGGTGGTATTGGTGGGGAGGGAGGTGTACCTCGTGTGAGTGAGTAAGGAACAAAAAGTGTCTGGTATTGAGTGAGAGAGAGGTGTACCTCGTGAAGTGAGTAAGGAACAAAAGTGTCTGGTATTGAGTGAGAGGGAGGTGTACATCGTTAGGGGAGTAAGGAACAAATGTGTCTGAGTATTGGTGGGAGGGAGGTGTACCTTGTGAGAGCGAGGTAAGGAACAAAAGTGTCTGGTATTCAGTGAGGAGAGAGGTGTGCCTCATTGAAGTGAGTAAGGAACAAAAGTGTCTGGTATTCAGTGAGAGAGAGGTGTGCCTCGTGAAGTAAGCAAGGAACAAAAAGTGTCTGGTATTGTGTGTGAGGGAGGTGTACCTCGTGGGAGTGAGTAAGGAACAAAAGTGTCTGGTATTGGTGAGAGGGAGGTGTACCTCGTGAAGTGAGCAAGGAACAAAAAGATCTGGTATTGAGTGAGAGGGAGGTGTACCTTGTGAAGTGAGTAAGGAACAAAAGTGTCTGGTATTCCAGTGAGAGGAGAGGTGTGCCTCATTGAGTGAACAAGGAACAAAAGTGTCTGGTATTGAGTGAAAGGGAGGTGTACCTTGTGAGAGTGAGTAAGGAACAAAAGTGTCTGGTATTGAGTGAGAGGAGGGAGGTGTACCTTGTGAAGAGCAGGTAGGAACAAAAAGTGTCTGGTATTCAGTGAGGGAGGGAGGTATGCCTCGTGAAGTAAAGCAAGGAACAAAGTGTGTCTGGTATTGAGTGAGAGGGAGGTGTACCTCGTGAGAGTGAGTGGGGAACTAATGTGTCTGGTATTGAGTGAGGAGGGAGGTGTACCTTGTGAGAGAGAGTAAGGAACAAAAGTGTCTGGTATTCAGTGGAGAGGGAGGTGTGCCTCGTGAAGTAAGCAAGGAACAAAAGTGTCTGGTATTGAGGTGAGAGAGGGAGGTGTACCTCGTGATGTGAGTAAGGAACTAAGGTGTGTCTGGTATTTGGTGAGGAGGGAGGTGTACCTTGTGAAGTGAGCAAGGAACAAATGTGTCTGGTATTGAGTGAGGAGGAGGTGTACCTTGTGAGAGTGAGTAAGGAACAAAAAGTATCTGGTATTGAGTGAGAGGGGGTGTACATCGTTAGGGTAGTAAAGGGAACAAATGTGTCTGGTATTGAGTGAGGAGGGAGGTGTACCTTGTGAAGGCAGTAGGGAACAAAAGTGAGTGTCTGGTATTGAGGTGAGGGAGGGAGGTGTGCCTCGTGAAGTGAGTAAGGAACAAAGGTATCTGGTATTGAGTGAGGAGAGGGGGTTGTACCTCGTGAGTGAGTAAGGAACAAAAGTATCTGGTATTGAGTGAGGAGGGGGTGTACATCGTTAGGGGGAGTAAGGAACAAATGTGTCTGGAGTATTGAGTGAGGAGGGAGGTGTACCTCGTGAGAGTGAGCAAAAGGAACTAATGTGTCTGGTATTGAGTGAGTGAGGGGGAGGTGTACCTTGTGGAGTGAGTAAGGGAACAAAAAGTGTCTGGTATTCAGTGAGAGAGAGGGGTGTACCTCGTGAAGTGAGCAAGGAACAAAAGGATCTGGTATTGAGTGAGAGGGAGGTGTACCTCGTGAAGTGAGCAAGGAACAAAAGTATCTGGTATTGAGTGGGGAGGGAGTTGTACCTTGTGAAGTGGAGTAAGGAACAAAAGTATCTAGGTATTGAGTGAGGAGAGGAGGGTGTACATCGTTAGGGTAGTAAGGGAACAAATGTGTCTGGTATTGAGTGTGAGAGGGAGGTGTACCTTGTGAGAGCAGGTAAGGAACAAACGTGTCTGGTATTGGGTGGGAGGAGGGAGGTGTGCCTCGTGAGAGTCAGCAAGGAACAAAGGTATCTGGTATTGAGTGAGGGGTTGTACCTTGTGAAGAGTGAGTAAGGAACAAAAGTATCTGGTATTGAGGTGAGGAGGGAGGTGTACCTTGTGAGAGTAAGTAAGGAACAAAAGTATCTGGCATTGGTGAGGAGGGGTGTACATCGTTAGGGGAGTAGGAACAAATGTGTCTGGTATTGAGGTGAGGAGGGAGGTGTACCTCGTTGAAGTGAGTAAGGAACTAATGTGTCTGGTATTGAGTGAGGGGGAGGTGTACCTTGTGAGAGTGAGTAGGGAACAAAAGTGTCTGGTATTCAGTGAGGAGGGAGGTGTACCTCGTGAAGTGAGCAGGGAACAAAAGGATCTGGTATTGAGTGAGGAGGGAGGTGTACCTTGTGAAGTGAGTAAGGAACAAAAGCGTCTGGTATTCAGTGAGGAGAGGAGGTGTGCCTCGTGAAGTGAGTAAGGAACAAAAAGTGTCTGGTATTGGTGAGGAGGGAGGTGTGCCTCGTGAAGTGAGTAAGGAACAAAAGTGTCTGGTATTGAGTGAGGAGGGAGGTGTACCTTGTGAAGTGAGTAAGGAACAAAAGTGTCTGAGTATTGAGTGTGAGGGAGGAGGTGTACCTTGTGAGAGTGAGTAAGGAACAAAAGTATCTGGTATTGAGTGAGTGAGGAGGTGTACATCGTTAGGGTAGTAAGGAACAAATGTGTCTGAGTATTGAGTGAGAGAGGGAGGTGTACCTTGTGAGAGGAGCAGTAAGGAACAAAAAGTGTCTGGTATTGAGTGAGGAGGGAGGTGTGCCTCCTGTGAAGTGAGTAAGGAACAAAGGTATCTGGTATTGAGTGAGGGAGGGGGTTGTACCTCGTGAAGTGAGTAAAGGAACAAAGTATCTGGTATTGAGTGAGACGGAGGTGTACATTGTGAAGTGAGTAAGGAACAAAAGTATCTGGTATTGAGTGAGAGGGGTGTACATCGTTAGGGGTAAAGGAACAAATGTGTCTGGTATTGAGTGAGGAGGGAGGTGTACCTCGTGAAGTGAGTAAGGAACTAATGTGTCTGGTATTGAGGTGAGGGAGGTGTACCTTGTGAGAAGTGAGTAAGGAACAAAAGTGTCTGGTATTGAGTGAGAGGGAGGTGTACCTCGTGAAGTGAGCAAGGAACAAAAGTGTCTGGTATTGAGTGAGAGGGAGGTGTACCTCGTGAAGTGAGCAAGGAACAAAAGTGTCTGGTATTGAGTGAGAGGGAGGTGTACCTTGTGAAGTGAGTAAGGAACAAAAGTATCTGGTATTGAGTGAGAGGGGGGTGTACGTCGTGAGGGTAGTAAGGAACAAAATGTGTCTGGTATTGAGTGAGAGGGAGGTGTACCTTGTGAAGTGCAGTAGGAACAAAAGTGTCTGGTATTGAGTGTGAGGAGGGAGGTGTGCCTCGTGGAAGTGAGCAAAAAGGAACAAAGGTATCTGGTATTGAGTGAGGAGGGTTGTACCTTGTGAAGTGAGTAAGGAACAAAAGTGTCTCTGGTATTGAGTGAGAGGGAGGTGTACCTTGTGAGAGTGAGTAAGGAACAAAAAGTATCTGGCATTGAGTGAGGAGGGAGGTGTACATCGTGAGGGGAGTAAGGAACAAATGTGTCTGGTATTGAGTGAGGAGGGAGGTGTACCTCGTGAGAGTGAGTAAGGAACTAATGTGTCTGGTATTGAGTGAGGGAGGGAGGTGTACCTTGTGAAGTGAGTAAGGAACAAAGGTGTCTGGTATTGAGTGGGAGGGAGGTGTACCTCGTGAG